TACTGCAGCTCCAGTTGTACTGCGGGTGGCACTGCAAGGTAGCAGTAGAAGCCTAAAAAAACGTTGCAAAATGGCATGTATAAGGAAGAAAGTAATATGAGAATGATGTGCTGAAGATGTGAATAATAGGAATAATAACTACTTCTGAGATGTCAAGCAGGTCTGAAAGTCTCTGCAGTTCATCAAAAATTACCATGTTATCTAGAGATGCAGTATCTTAAAAGTAACCATCATAATACTGTCAGAAACTTTTGTTTGTTTGTTGGGTGGGGTGTTCTGTTTTTGTTTTCCCCTCTTCATTGATGGTCAGGTTAACAGGAAATTAGAGGAAAGCTTTGTGGCATATGCTCATTATTTGGTTCTGGTTGTCATTAATAATAGTAGCCATAATGTGTGATTAAAAGGTAATCATAGTGAAATTCAGATTTACAGATGAGGGGAAATGATGCTGGTTTCACTGGAGAAGACTTTGTAACTCTGTTTCAGATCTGTGTTCTATCGCTCGTACAAAGAGCAGGAGTCTAAAAAAGGGTATGACCAAGAAGAAGTTTTTGAAAAGCCTACACGTGAAACTTGCCAAGGTAAGATACAGGAGTGTGCGAAGACTGAGTTTTTAAGTTTTTGTGGGCAAGGCTGTTAATGTTGTTGAACTGATTCAGTCTTCATTTTGGGACATATAAGATAGCAGAGAAGTCTGTATTAATTGTTATTAATACACCAGTTGAGATATTTGTGTAAAATTAGATCTTTTTGCTGTTGTCTGAAGTTGCAAGCAGACTTTTTGAATTTCTACAGAACAACAGAGTCAATATATTGAAAAATTTGGGAGTCTACTTTCTTTTTTTCTTTTTTACCTCAAGGTATGAGACACGCAATCTATGACAAACTTGATGATGATGGTTTGATAGCACCTGGGGTACGTGTGTCTGGGGATGATGTCATCATTGGCAAAACAGTAACGCTGCCAGAGAACGAAGATGAACTGGAAAGCACAAACAGACGCTTCACAAAGAGAGACTGCAGCACTTTCCTGCGAACTAGTGAGACTGGCATTGTAGATCAGGTCATGGTAACCCTTAACCAGGAAGGATACAAGTTCTGCAAGATTCGGGTGAGCATTAATGTGTGTGCTTTCTACTTTTAATAATCTCTGTTGTGTATTTAAGTTACCAGTTGAATGTTTCCCTCTGGCTTACAGGTGCGCTCTGTAAGAATTCCACAAATTGGAGATAAGTTTGCTAGCAGACATGGTCAGAAGGGAACCTGTGGTATCCAGTATAGGCAAGAGGTAGTAATTTTTTTTTCCTTCTTAACATTTTACCTGTGCCATTCTTAGCATTTGAACTGCCTTAAATGAATTGTCTGTGGAATATCTACTCAGGTGCAATGTGTTGACTTAAATTTAGCTAAAATACGTTTAGAAGGGGACACAGCTCCTTCTTACATGATACTTAAATGCCTTTGAAACACTTTCAAAGATTTAATTTGGATCCAGGCATCTACTTTTCCTAAACATGATATTCTGGGAAGAACTGACTGTCTGTTTCCCTGCTCTAGGATATGCCCTTCACCTGTGAAGGCATCACACCTGATATCATTATCAACCCCCATGCCATCCCTTCCCGTATGACCATTGGTCACTTGATTGAGTGTCTTCAGGGCAAGGTAAGAAAAATCTTCTATACTGAATGTCTGAGCAATATGAATTAAAATTTGGGGGAGGGGCTTTTGTTTGTTTGGGGGTTTTTTTGTAAAGATAAGTACTGCCTAGTAGGTGTTACTTCACTGAAAAATAAGGATTGTTCTGCAGTTACTTGATAGCAAAAGCAGGTTTCTTGAGGAAGACCTACAGTCCTGTAAATTTTGTCCATCAAGTCAGACACCACAGTGTGCTCTGTCATCTGTTACTTTTGTTCAGACATTTCCCTGACCTAGAAAAAGGAGTAGCAAATTTGTAGATACTGTGTATTTTTTAAGTTGTGTAGCTGATAAACAAAGCAAGATAGGTTACTATGTTGGGCATGGAGCCTCAAATTCAAGCATTAAGTGTTGAACTGTTTGAAACAGCTTAATATGGCATAACCAGTCCTTCAGAAACGTGACAAACTTTTGCAAATCTCTTCTCTGTAGGTGTCTGCAAACAAGGGAGAAATTGGTGATGCTACCCCTTTTAATGATGCTGTCAATGTGCAGAAGATTTCCAATCTTTTATCAGATTATGGCTATCATCTAAGAGGAAACGAGGTATAACCAAAATATCAGTTCATTGTAATCTTTTTAATACGCATTTGATGGATAGTAAGGCTTATGATTCAGTGACTGCATTGACTTCTTCAGGTCCTCTACAATGGCTTCACTGGTCGAAAAATCACATCACAGATCTTTATTGGTCCTACTTATTACCAGCGACTGAAGCACATGGTAGATGACAAAATCCATTCTCGTGCAAGAGGGCCCATCCAGATACTGAACAGACAGCCCATGGAAGGTAGATCTCGGTAAGGATGTGTGTTAGTTTCTATATGGGGTTTTCTTTTTCTGTCGAGTTTTTAGCCCTGAACTAAAGTTGTTTCAGCTTTGCAGCTAGAACTTCATTAGCTCACCCCAATTAGCCACCCATTTTTCGTGGCTTAAGATCAAGTGTTGGGTGCAGCATCAAGGCTTTGGTAGCAGGAGGTGCTGCTGGGCTGGCCTCTCTGAGAAAGGACCAGAGGTTGCCCTGTGCTGGCCACAGCCACTTCCAGCTGGCTCTGACCAGCCAAAGCCTGTCAGCGGTGCTGGTGGCACCTCTGTGGGAATGTATTTAAGAAAGGGTAAAAAATGCTGTGCAGCAGCTGTGAGAGAGAGAAGGGAAAAAATGCAAAAGGAACTGCCCTGCAGCCCATGGAAAGCCCACGCTGGAGCAGGCTCCTGGCAGGAGGTATGATCTGGGGGGATCCATGCTGCAGCAATCTGTTCCTGAAAGATTGTACCCTGTGGGATGGGCCCCTGCTGGAACAATGTGTGAAGGACTATCCCACGGGAGGGACCACATGTTGTGGCAGGGAAAAAGCGTGAGGAGGAAGGAGCAGCTGAGAGGAACTGTTATGCACTGACTGCAGCCCCCGTTCTCCCTGCGGCCATGGGGAGGGGAGGAAGGAGTTTGGAATGAAGAAATGAAGTTGAGCCTGGGAAGAAGGCTGGGGAGATGAATTTTTTAGTTTTGTCTTCATTTCTCATCATGCTACTCCATTCTTAATGGGCAATAAATTAATTTTCCCCATGCTGAGTCTGTTTTGCCTGTGACAGTAATTGATCAGCTGTATCCCTGGGTTTATCTCCACTCATGAGCTTTTCCATCTTATTTTCTCCCCATGTCCTTTCGACCTGGGGGGGAGTCAGAGAGATGCTTGGTGGGCATCTAGCAGACAGCCAAAGTTAAACTCACCACAGATAAGTAGAGGATGACTTATTTGCATACTTCATTTTGCTGTGTGGTTGTGCTGTGGCTGTCAGAGACCTGCTGTAGAAATGCTCAGCAGCAGTTAAAAATTATTGTGTTCACATTCTCCCTAACAGTTTATTCTGAGGTGTTAGAGGAAAATTAATGCACAGCTTTCCTCCTGCCTTGCAATACTGCTGTTGTGTTTCTGGTAAGATACTTGTTCTGCCAAAAAAAAAATGATTATTTTGCCGATGAGCAGAAAAGTTAAGTGGGGTTTTTTTTATTCTTTTCAGTGATGGTGGCCTTCGCTTTGGAGAAATGGAACGGGATTGCCAGATTGCTCATGGAGCGGCCCAGTTCTTGAGAGAAAGACTGTTTGAAGCTTCAGACCCATACCAAGTCCACGTGTGTAACCTCTGTGGAATCATGGCGATTGCAAACACCAGGACTCACACTTACGAGTGCCGGGGATGCCGCAATAAAACTCAGGTACGTGCAGTTTTCATCAGCCAGTGTTTCTCTTTGTGGGCAAGAGGAAATGCCACTCCAGTGAACAGGAGGATAGGGAAGTAAATATTTAAAGAAGCACCAGAACAATTGCTATTTTAGTTTCATAACTGTTTTAAGTGTTTATAGTGACCTAGTTAATTTGGATGCTTCCTTATTAACTTCAGAGTGTTGGCTTGGCAGGAAATGCTGCTCAAGTATTTTACAGTGCAGAGTTTTCAGAAACTTTAAACACTTGAGAGCTTATTTTTAGAAGTAAAACTCAGAATCACAGGAATTTAAAAGCCATCGCCCTTGTGACTGTCCCATGAAGATATTTATGCTTGCAGAGCTGGGTCCCCATGGGAGGCCTTTTGTGTTGCACTTTGGTGGGTTTTTTTTAATTAATAAAAGGCCTGCAGTGTGTGCTTGGTTACAGCACCACGTCAAGGAAGGGTGGTGGCAGAGATAAAAAGAGTTGCCTTGAACAGGCTTGTTGTTGTGCCAGGGACTGACTGCTGCCCCTCCAGCAGTGGCACCAGAGTTAGAAATCGATGTGTGCTGGAAATATTAACTGCACTTACTGCACATCAGGCACATTTGGCTGTGCACACGTTCCTGTGTTAAATGGCTCTTGTTTAGGATCAGATCCCTTGGTTGCAGGTTTTATGTTAAAAATGTGTTCTGGATAGCTGCTGTTGTAGCCTCTACAGACAGTCTCAGGCTTCCTTCTTGCTTTGGTACTGTCTGTGAGCAATTCTTGTTAAATGCTCTCATGCACAACTTCAGACTCACTTTTGAGCCAAAAACTTGATGAGTTATTTGTTTAGAGGATGGTGGAAGTTGATGCTTTAGGAGTGCTTATCACAAGACTTTCGAAATCTCTTTCCAGATATCTCTGGTTCGAATGCCCTATGCCTGCAAACTCCTCTTCCAAGAACTGATGTCTATGAGTATTGCACCTCGTATGATGAGTGTTTAGCCTTTCAAAGGGCTTTCTTGGTTTTTTTAATTATGAGACTGAAGTTCTCAGGTTTAGTTTCATTTTATGTACGTTGCATTGAAAATACAGCTTTACTCATCTGCTGTGTGCTGTTGAAAAGTATGTTTATTTCCTGTAAATAGAATTAAAATTTGTAATCAAACTTGTGAATCTCTTTATTTGTGCATCTGTGAAAGAAGTGTGCAAGCAAATTGGGAGTCAAAGAATAAGGGAGTTAAGAGGGAATGATTAGTCAGCTAGAAAAAGCCAGAGCTTGCAGCTTTCCAAAATACTAATTTAAAACTGTGCATAAGTGAAAGTCCTCACATCACAGCTCTGCACCATCATCTGTGGAAAAACAAAAACATGTTACAGTCTGTACTGTTCCAAGAGGGAATATTGCAACTTTGGCAGTAGCTTTGTGATCTTTTAGCTGAGGGTGAGACCTGATCCCTTCTTCCTTCCTTCTTTCCTTCCCTCTCTGCTGCAGGGGGATGATAGTAAATGCATTTTTCTGTGCTGAGATCACCTGGACATGGGACACAGACTCTCAGTGTGTAGCTATGACGTCTGACAGTCTGTTCCATTAACCTTATCAATTTCCTTTAAGCTGGCAGCCTGCACTTACTTATCGCCTGGCTCCAGCGTGCTGACTAGAGAGCCTTCCTACAGCTGAAAAGAAACAGCTGTAACACATGGGTATTGTGTGTAAGAAATAAACTATGAGGCAATATGCATGGTACTGCAGCCTCACAGTGGTTACTGTGAGAGGGGGAGTGAACATTTTCTGCTCTGGGGTATAAGCGTGCTGTTTGTGGCTCAATTTCATTCACATCCATAACTAAAGTGCTTGAAAAGGGATTAGAGACTAGCTAAAAACCATTAGCAGAGTTCTTATGCATGATATTTGGATTCATTTTAAGCTCTTAATTCAATGGCAAGTGCTGTTAATAATATTCTCCTAAGGGCAGTATTTCAGCTGTTCACAGACACAAGGATACAGAAAGTCACGACTGTATAGTTTGGATAAAGCTGCTGGGATTAAAACTAAGGATTATGTCCAAAACTGGATTTGGGCAGCACAGTATTCTCTACATGGATGCTTGGTTCCCAGTGCCTCTGCTTCTAGCATGGTTGCAGTTACTGTCCCAGCTATCCAGATTTATTCCTAAGCGTATGTGGATGTGATAGTGATCCATTCTCTCTGCAGCTGGAATGAGAGTGGTTGGTTTGCCATCAGCTTTGCACACAGCCTGGCAAAGAGGACCTGCTGTGGCATATCTGTACCGTCCAAGGTTTGACACCCCAGAATGCAGAGAATATGGCAGGTGTTGGGGTGTTTCCAGGATGGTGGAGGTACAGGGACTTGGTAGGAATTTAAGTGCTTGAAGTTCTCCCTCTGCTTTAGGGCTGCTTGTGCCAATGCTGCTTCCAGGAGAAATGGACAGGTTTGGAAGTGTCCAGAGAACACAGACAATATAAATAGGGCTGGAAAACCACTGAAAGTGGCTCTGCAAGAAACCCAGAAGGTATTTTTTAATTTTAATTTGGTATGTTTAATCTCCGGTACTTTACTGTACTTGGCAGTGTTCTCTCCCTTGAGAACTCTAGGAGCTAAGATTTGCTGGGAATGTTTGGCCAAACACAAAAAACTGTGTGTTAAAACTGCTATTTTTAGGGGGGGGTTGGGTTTGTTTGTTTGGGTTTCTTTAGAAAGCATTAAACAGAGGTGGTCCTTTTGTATCAAGTAAGGGTAAACTGTTTGGGGAGAGAGCTGCTGAGTATTCAGCCACACTTACCAACCTTTGGTCAGAGCTATTTCATGCAGAGTTTCCACAACGTGGATTTTTGCAGAAGCTGTTGCCTCTCCTTTGGCATTTGACGCATGGCACTCATATTCCCCAGCATCCTCTTTGCTCAGAGGGGATATCTAGGGGAAGAAACACACCCCCGGCCCTCCAATGAGCATCCCGTGCATGGGTAGAGGTGATTTTGTTTTAAGGTATCTTATGTAACTTGCTAATTGCTTGAGACATGATGAGATGAACAGAGTGCATGAAGGGGTTCACCCTTAGCAACCATGCTGACTGCTTGCATTCTGTCAGCTCTAAACAGTCTGGTTCAGATTGTGGTGGGTCTCCTCACTGGGGTTTGGGACAAGCACCCACTCCTGTGGGTGAGCCTAGCTTTCTTCTCTGGTTCACAGAGGAAAATGCAGACTTTTAAGGGCTCCTCAGCTGTGCGTGGGTTTTAGGGATGCCTTACCTCTGTACTAGTTCCTTCCTAGTCATGGAGAGGGTCTCCTTCCCACTAACAGCAGCAGGAAAGTAATGAGATGTTTTTTTCAGTCTATCCTTTTCTGATCACAAAATGCACCCTTCTGCTGCATGCTGGACAGAGGAAGGATGCATGCAACAGGTAAGACTGGAGCAAGCAGCCACCCTTACCCTTCACCCCTAATTCACACAGGTTGTTTTCCTCCAAAGGCCCTATGTGTTGCCATTTGTCTTCTGTACTGTTGTTTGTTCATATTCGCAAACTGCCCTGTACTGTTTGTGCAGCTCTTTGCGTACACAAAATACTTACGAGCACCCAGCCAGTCACTTCGTGTTTCTCTGGGCCCCCTCGGGTCTGGATAGCCAAGTTCTCCCGGTCCCCAGGCAGGAGCTCCATCCTCTGGACACCATACTGTCCTCGAATTATCTAAACAGAAGGGCAGAAACAGGTAAGAATTGCGGGCTTATTTATGTTGGAACTGCTAGAACCACACCCGCACACAGACAAGATCAACGCTAGTTTTACATGAATGTGTTTTTCCTAGTGTCAGCATTTCACCTTACTGTCCACATGGTACTGCCCCAGTGCCTCAGCATCTGCACTGAGGCTGTGTTCCCCTGGCCTCAGCAGGAACAGATAGAGTGGCATGGTTTTCTGATACGGATGGTGCTGGGCAGTGGGGTGTGCAAACATACCCTGCACTGACTGCATTGACTTGGCCTCACAGAACTCATGTGCGTGTTCCCAAGGGTGTGTTTAGCCCATCAGTGGAGCAGCCTGGAGCTGCTGGCAGCTGTACATCAATCCAGTTCAGCAAGCTGGAGCAGCTGCCTTCTGGCTTGGGACTGGGAGACCACCAGGAGCTGACTGTTGGCCTTGTTTGGAGAGACTCCCCCATAACTTCCTGCTGATCAGGCTTTTTAATTTGGCAGCAGTAGAGAACTGAGTGTCCACCTGCATGACCTATCCTCTTCTCAACAGACCAGCAACAGCCCTGCATGTTTCTGCTGCAGCAAAACAGGCTGTCCCTCCTGGTGGCCACAGCATCGAGGAGAAAACAGCAGTGCAGTCTCTCCCCAGTGCTGTGTATCTGAGCCCCGACCCAAGCACGGGGTAAGTGGTACTCAGCCCTTGTTATCACCATGTCAAGCAGTCTCTTGGCCATGAGGTAGAGGCACAAAAAGCAGAGTAGCATTGACAGTCAGTGTAAACTCAGCATCTACTCATAAACAAGCAGTAAACACTGCCTGAGTCAGCATGCCCACATTGCTCACCCAAGAGTCTGCTCTGACACCCCTATGAATAAAGCTTACTGTCTTAGAGCAAATTTTGGGCCAATCTCGCTTTTTTAGTCCATACTAGCCTTAAGCTAGTATTGTTTCAGTTTAATTTTAAGGCCCTTCACAAGCGTCCATAAACCTGTGGCACTTGAGGAGGCTACAGGGGCTGTGCTGTGGCTCTCAGCCCTACAGCTACGATTTTCTCTGCTCAACACTGGCCCCTGTCCAAAGCCAGATGTTACCAGTGCTGCCAAGATCAACATGCTGCTGGCTACTGGAGACAACTGCCCCATGTGGTTCCTGTTCCCGACGATGTGGGCGATGTCTAGCCACCTCAGTCACTGCTGCCAGCAGGGTGACAGCAGGTCAGGGGACATTCCCCGCATGCTCCAAATATCAGGCACTACCAAGAGAAACATATTCTGCCTCGGGATCAACAAGAGTTTAGAAAGAGCAATGACTAAAGACTAAGCAAAACCAAATGTTTGGGGGTGTACAGGACTGCACAGATGAGAGAACTCATCAAAGAGGTGTGTTTCTACAGAGGGATCTGCTACGGTCCTTATGCTCACCATGCAGATTCAGCTGCCTCAGGTTTGCTGTGTTCTCTGAGCTCCTAGCAGGACCCTTACCTTGTTCCAGATGAGGACAGGAGTTGGGATGCCAATGACTTCACAACTCAGGTAGATCTGTGCTCCTGTCACATTCCAGATATCCTTAGGAGGAGTCACAATGGAGGGTCCTTCAAAAAGGGAGAAATGCTTTTAAGCTTGGGGTGACTACAAGCTGTCTCCTTGCTGAGCCTTTTAAGTGGGCCAATCTGATGGGTTTTGAGGATGGGGTGAAGAAGATCCCTGCTTGGAGCAAAGCTTGCAGGATTGATCCCATATCAAAGCACTTCCCTCTCTGAAGCAACACATGCATCCAGCCTTAAGCTGTTCAGACTGAAACCAGACAGAAACTCAAGTGTTGAGCAGTTCAGATCAGTCCATCTACTTGCAAAAATGAGGTTAGAGGTAAGATAGTGTTTGTATTCTGTTATCTCAGGGACTGAACAGGCCTGTACAAACTGGCCTGGATGTGCTTACCATGCAGTCACCAAGCCAGCTGGCAAGGAGGAAAGGACCCCCAGGAGACAGGGTGCATCTCATCACTTTCTCATGCCATGGAGAGCTTGGCCAACTTGGCAGCATCTTTCTCCCTAGTATGATTTCAATCCCATGGCAGCTGGCTAGCACAATTCAATGTTACGCTGCTCCTGTTTTACCTGTATGCAATACTCAGCCACAGGAGGCTGGCTGGAGGGTGGCAGAGCTCTCCCTGGCAGGGATCTGGGAAAAGACTAGGTAAATGCAGAGCTTCTTTTCCCCTGAGAGCTCCAATTCCTGGTTAAACAGAGAATTCCTTCCAAAGCAAGATGAGAACGGAGTTGTTTTGCAGATCTGGCTGGAGATGTTTACCCCTCAGGCTGAGAAATGTTGGAGATGTAACCCATATCCCAGAAAGGGAAGAATGGCCTTTTTTATTCAATCCCTCTTTAGTGAGGCTGTTTTACAAAATGCAGCTATTAATTCCCCATAATAGGAAGTGCAGACCAAAGGAGCACACAGTGTTTATTTCCAGTTATTGAGAGCTTTAAGAACACAACAAACAGCTTTCCCGCTTCTGCTCTGAAGATGCAGGCAGCAACAGGAAACTAAAGCTCCCATTACACTGCATCAGGAGAAGGCATTTCCTATATGCCTAACTGAAGCCCTTGGGTATGCTGGCTCACAGACCACGGCTTATTCTCAGCCCCATAAAAAAGGGGCAGATTTGGGTCCTGATGCTCCTTATGGGGTTCCTGAACGTGCATTGATTTCAGCCCTGCATGTGCACTCCCCCCTACAGCCATCACAGGCAGTGGGGAGCAGGTTTCCAGGTGCATCCCACCACACTAACATCTTCCAGCAGGAAGCTGGTGTCTTTTTCCTCCTCAGGATCTGGGGTCAGATCCACACTGGTATTACCAGCCAAAGGGTATCAGCCATACTTCTATTCTAACCCAAGAGATGCTGAGGTGGCTCGCCACTCCTGAGCAGCTGGTGTGATCCCAGAGAAGTGTGTGCTCTTCTCTTTTGAGACTTCCCTGTCCAGGAATGACTGTACATGGCCTGCAGGTGGGAAGCTGCTAAGAGACCAGGGGTGGCTGCCTTCAATATTCTCTGTTACAGAAGTTTTCCAGTTCTGGTTTTGACAGGAGGCAGCTGCAGAGAAGCAGAGAAGTTTTATGTGTAGCCCTGGGCGATGGTTGAAACCACTCCTAATGGTCAGCACGGGTGGTTTCCTGGCAGACACCACAACCCAGGTGCTCCTCATCTGCACAGGGCTGAGTCAAAAATTTAAGCAGCATTTCGTTACATGCTTATCCATTTGTTGCTTGTGCTGCTTCGTGAATTGATTCCTGTGCACCTGTCAAAAGAGGGGTGTGTCAAGAGTCACAGCACCCTTTCCCTTATGGAAAAGTGCTGGATTTATCCTTGCCCCAGGTGGCCCAGAGCAGATCTGTACCACAGCAGCCCATGCCCACCTCTGCACTCTCAGCAACACCCCGCTGAAGGTGTTCCCCTCGAATACACCACAATAAAGGGGGGGTGACCTGCACCCCAGCCACAGCCTGGCCCCTGCGCAGCAGCGAGGCTGTGGCCAAGCCCAGGGCATTGAATCCCCATGACGGGGCCACCTCAGGTCACACACTCTGCTCCCCTTACCCAGCACGGGGCGGTTTCCTGCACAGCCCAGCTGTTCTTTTTCCGGTGTCCCTTAAACAATAGGGACAATAGTGCACTTGGAAGCTCCGATGGGACCCTATGTTCCCAGGCAGCTTAGCTTGCACTTTGCTCTCTGAGGGCCTCCAGCTGATGTGCACCCAGCAGAGCCTGCTACGGCTGCTGCCTTCTGCTCCAAACATGTACAACCCTCCACGTGCCAAGTGCCCTTCCTAGGGCAGAGCTCAGGGCCTGTCCCCAACAGGCAGGGCTATCCTCTTTATCACTGGTTACTGGGGTTCTCCATGAGGCAGGAAACACAGCTGCCCCCCAAATGACCACCATCTCCCACCACAGAAAAGGAGAGATCTTGACTTACGTTAAAAGCCAGGTGGATTTTGAGGCACTGTTATGCTCTTCCAGGATCTGGCTCAAGTCTTCCCTGGCTGGGAACTGGCAGCATTCAGTCCACCACTAAACTCACTGCCTGAGGTCTCTCAGTCTTGGCTGCTGCTGAGTTTCCCTCTTGCCCACAGGTGTTTGCTTGCCCTGCCAGGAGCATATCACACAAGGATTTTTCAGCAGCAACTGCTGGCAGGGGTAAAGAGAGAAAGAATGTCTACCCATCTCCCAGGCAAGGAGAAATTGTTTATCTTCTTGGAAAGGAGAAGTGCGTGCACAGCTTCACAGCAAAGCTCTGGCTGGCTTGGCACAGCAGCCACAGCACAGCAAGAGCCTGACTTTTAAAAGGCAGTCCTGAGCTAGAGCTCGGGATGTACATCCTGATCTAACCAGGCAGAACATGACGTTCTGCATTTGGCTGCAAAATGAATTGGAAGCATCCACAGGCCTCCACCTCTATCCAGCACAGCTCTGAGGCCAGGAGGGAATACACATCCTGAGAGATGCAACAAGTGTCATGGGAAGAGTCACTGTGGACTCTCCAGACGTTTGACTTTAATCCATACAGCCAAAATTCTAGAGTTGTGTTTCTTCCGCCACTAAAAATAAATGAGAAAGGCCAAGAAGTCAGTAGATTTAAAGTCAAATCACAACAGGCCACAGCAGTAGCTAGACTCCTACTACAGTGGGCTGACACTCTTGTGCATGGCCCTCACCCTGCTTATTGCCGGTGCTGGTCCCACTCGCTCTCTCCCACAATCGCCCAGAGCAGACAGAGCTGGACAGATGACACAGAAACAAGAGATGCAGAGGATGGCAGAGCCTTGCAAGCACTTCCGAAGATATGAAGACATTCCCCCCTCTAAGTCACCCTCTTGCTTTGGGAATTCTTGTGAAGGAAGCAAGGCCACCATGTGTTCAGCAGGGCTGGAAACAAGCCCACCCTGTACAGAGCAGATGTCTTGATTCCTGCCAGCAAGGAGACCCTCAGCCATCATCCTACAGCCTGCACCTGAGAGGCCTTGTTGCTCTACTTGCAGCACTGCCCCCAAGGGGGAATGTTTCTCCATCTGCCTCCTGAGGGCTGAGGACCTGAGGGCTGCACCTGCTGATGGAAATGGTCATGGTCATCACAATCAAGGTGGCCAAGTGGTCTCCACTCCCCCCCAAGGCCTGCACCACGGGCACTGCTGATGTGCAGATGCTCCCTGCAGGACTTGCCCTGACTGAGCAGAAGCTCCTTGGCCAGGAGGACAGCCCCGGCTCTTGATGGAAATCAGCTGCTCTCCACAGGCACTTCAGGCATTTCCTCAGAACTCTGCCCATTGTTTGTTAAACAAATAGCTCTCCCCAGCTCAGGATGGGGCTTTTTACAGAGCCCCAGATCTCATTCACCCTGGGAGAGAGCCTGACCATTTGTGCAGGGACTATTTTTTTCTCCAGATTGCAAGGAGCTGACAGCCTGCATTATGTCAAAAGCAGCAGCTGGAGAGGAGTTCCCATTGCTGTTATGTAGTTGCTTTTCTGCTGCAGCAGCATGTGGCAGAGCCTGACTTCCTCGATGAGGATGTCATTTGGCATCTGTTCCTGAGACCCCTCCCCACGCCAGGCACCTCTTCTCTGCTCAACCACAGCAGGCAGAGACCTGGCATCTCCCAGCCCACCCATCTGCCTCTCACTGGTACCTGGACGGTCTGTCACAGCTCAGGGTTACCTCGTCCTCACCGATCTTCCTTTGGTGTCCACACACACAAATAAAAACTGCACAGCAAGCAGAGCAGTAACTTTTCTGCTAAAATCAAGGGGCCTACAGGTATGTCACTAAAGGCAAAAATAAGCTGGACACTAAGCACTGTGGGTATGCCCTGGTGCTTGGGTGTGTGCGGGAAGTCCAGAACACGAACACACGAAGCCACGCACCACATGCTGAAGCTCACGTGGGTGTCAGCTTGATTCCCAACCAGCCCTCACGAGCACTGCTGTGCCACAGCCCCAGGTCAAACACAGGCTGGGAACACTCCCTGTGAGACGGCTAACCAAAGCAAAAACTAAACATTGTTCACTCTAACAAGCTATTGCAAGTCTGAAAATAGACTCCAGTCTCCTAAGTTGCTGGCAAAGTATTTTCCCTTCAAAATTACTTTATATGGAAAAGGGGAAACCTTCCATAAGCAGCATCTACTCATTTTAGCTGGCATGGCCTCAGCTGCTCCCTCCCAGGTCAGTGCTCTGTGAGAGGCAACATATAGGAAGTGCTTTTGGCCTTCCCCACTCCCAAAGCTGCCTGCTGCTTTCTGGCAGACTTACAGGCCTTGTTCTTTACCCCTTTCTGAAGGCATTTTTCATCTTCCTTTAACCTGGCTTTGAAGAGACTAAGGAGTTACAGAAGGAAGCTCCAAGACATCCGCACCAAAGTAGATGTCGGATGCTATGTCTGTTTGGATGCTCCACCTCAGACTTCAGCAGCCCAGTGACCCTGGAAAGGCTGAAAACGCAAATGCAGCTTTGCCCCAAGTCCTGGAGGCTTGAGACTGAGTCAGCGTGAGGAAGGGCCCTGGGCCACCATCCATCTGCCATGGAGCAACTCCTGCTT